TTACTCATCTGATACATATCTCATACATGATTTTGCCTTACCTGCTGTTAGCAGACGGGCGATTCTGCTGACCTGCCTTCAGGGTCCTACCGATTGCTTATGTCATCACCTGGTGTGACAGGTGTATGAGGCCCGTAAAAGGACTGCCAGCCACCCACAGCTCTCTCTTTTCCTACTGTTTTTCTGTTCTAGGTGAACCCTTACTTGCCCTCTCTGCCCTCATGGCTCACTCGCTGTCTCTATACCTTCTCCCGGTCCTCCTCTCCCTTCCCCCAATAAACTTCCTTAGATCTGTGGAGCCTAATTCCTCATCGGGTACACCTTGGCCTGGGCCCGCCATAGTAGCCCCTCACCTCATCACTATAGATTATGACACCTGTAGTGTAGAGTGCTGGGTCTTTCCCTCTTATTAAACTGTTTTTGTACCTGACAGACACCTGATAAGCCCTGCCCCTTTCCTCCGTTACCCTCCACTCTGGTCTCTTTTATGAGATAACATATTTAGCTTCCACACGTGAGGGAGAGCATGCGGAGTGTGCTTTTCTGTGCACATTTCAATTTACTCTTTGGAGTCTCAGGTTCAGGATGGTGTTTGATTCTGCAGGCAGAATGTTTCATAGCTTCCGAGTGCGTCCGTTTCTTCATGAGGCGTCACTGAATCATTTATGTAAGTTCTGAGCTGTCATCAGGGGTTATGAATTATGTAATGAAACCTGAGGTAGAGTTCACAAGCGTTGGAAACAACTAGGACTACCCAGAGTCCTAACATGTGTAGCGAAGACTGAGTGAAGATGCTTCTAGCTGGAATGGTTCATCTCTTCCCAGGGCGACACGAGTTGGTGGTCAGGCAGAACGGAGAGCACCCTGGCTTTGATGCCTTGGTTCTGGCTGAGCTCCAAACTGCAGGCCTGTATGGGAGCCCCAGGGAGCTGGCCTCCAGCTGACTGTCCTCACGGGCCATGCTCAGGTTTGCTTCTTCAAGGAGGGCTTTCCTGTGTTGTCGCCAGTTAAGGGACCAGAGAGTATGTTGCATGCGTGGGCAAAGTTTTCTCACCTCTTGTCCCTTCCTTGGGTGTTATTAAATGATACAGGGATTACATGGTTCTTAAACACACGTCGGCTGCTAAGCTCTTGAACTGAGCTGAGTGCCCAGGAAGAGTCTGCTGATAAACCAAGGAGGCCCGAGACGAGGTACGCGGTTAATTGTTAACGAGCCATTTCAGCTCAGATGAGTGCTCTCTGGCTAGCTTACTCTTTAAAGGGCATTTGCCGTGTTGCACTTGCTCAGCATGTGCGAGGCCCCGGGTTTGCTCTCAAGCATCACATATATAAATAAATGAATAAATAAGTAAGTAAAGAAGTAAAGACTTAACTGATTTCTGAAATATCCGTTCTGTATGCCAGATGCAATTCACCTCTCAAGGGTGTGTGCCCAAGGCCAGTGGAACTCTGGAGAGCTGGGCTGTCTCCACCTCTAAGAAAGCCTCTATGGAGCAGAATTAAATTGAGCATTAGATTAAAAACCTCAAAAAGATTCTTGCTCATCTTTTACCTTTCAAATTTTGAAGTTTATTTATTTTTACGTGCATGGGTGCTTTGCCTGGACGTAGTCTGTGTACTCTCAGTTGTCCCTTCTACCTCCTCCTTGCTCTAAAAAATGGCGGTTCTGTTTTCAGTCCCTTAAAACCAGAAACCATTTCTGGTCTCCCGGCTCACTGTGCCGTCTCTAGCTTTGAGGGGCTCCCGAGAAACAACAGGCCCCATGGTCTGTTTCTGCTTTGGTCCAGCGTCAGCCACCACATCCCCCTGCACCTTGGTTTTGCCTCCTTGTTGGCCTGCTCGTCCCTTCTCCCTTGCTATCTCTTACTTCCCTTCCCACTAGCGCCCCCTAGGACTCTTGCCATGAGGTCTAATTCTGCCTTCTTCGGCCAGAGCCCACCGACACAGCCCACAGACCCACGACCAAATTGACTCATCCTCCGCATCTCAGATGCTGGTGTAGCTCTCAGGTACCCTCCTGCCTCAGGGCCTTTGCTGTCTCCTCTGCCAGGAAGCCTTTGTCCCTGGCCCCACGCTAAGTACTAAACTTCCCTTTCCACGAATGTCAGGCAGGGCTCTATCCAGCCCTCTCTTTACTTTTTGGTTGGACCCAAGCTCTCACTAAGTTGCCCAGGAAGGCTTGAATTTACTTGGTAGCCCAGGCTAGCCTAGAGCTTTTGATCCCCCTGCCTCAGCTTCCGAGTAGCTAAGATTACGGGCCTGCAACACCCTTTGTCTTTGAAATCGGCTGCCTTCATCTTTCACACCCTTTTACATCTCCAAATACACGTGAAAACTTGCCTGAAAAATCCACCTGGAATGCGCTGCCTCACCACGCTGGCTCTGTCCCCTGACCGCCTGTACTTACCCAGCACTGACTGCTGTCCACAGTGAGATCTCTTTTTGTCCCATGTGCCTCGTGAGGAGGAGGCTTAGCTCTGCTGACTTGTCTGATCTTGTGCTGAGAACAGTGTTCAGCACAGAGGGGGTGCTCAGAAGTATGAGACTAATATCCATATCGGGGTGGAGGGCGACAGGTTCGTCCCCTTTCTGTCCTTCGGTGCTTCCCAGTCCCCCAGCCCCTATGCCACCAGCGTTAGAGGGAGATATCAAGCTCCCTCCAAGCATGGGCCAGCCCTCCACGTTCACACTGGACAGTCCTGCCCCTCCCGTGTTCAGCAGCTCTGTTGTGATCCTCGGAGCACGTTGGGGGGAGGTGGTCCCAGCCTTCTCACACCCCACAGGCTTCCTTGTCCTGAAGCAGGTGGGAGACTACTGTCACCCGGAGCTGAAGCCTGATCACTTCCTCCTCCAGTCTTCAGGAGAGGGGCAGAGCTCAGACTGCTACATCCTGAAACCTTGCCTCAGCTTTGGACACAGCCAGTGGCTTACTCCTCTGAAAGCAGCGAAGAAGCCATTGTAGCATTTGCACGGCCTTGTGATGTGATAATAGGTAGGCTGCCCCCACCTGCTTCGGTTAAGACCAGCACCTGCATGATGTCCCTGCTCTTCAGGATTTTTCATGTTCCCAGAGGAAGGCTGTGAAGGGCAGGAGCGAAGGCTGGTGAACCCCCCCCCCCCCCCGCTGCCTCAGAATCAAACTCAGAGCTGGTGAAGCCGCTGTTGGTTCTGTGGGTGGGGATGTGCCGGAAGGTGACATCCACGATTTCATCGCCACTGATGCCTGATGATGCCGGTCCAGGAACACCACCTTCAGAATCCCTAGTGCTTCCATTCTGAGAAGGCGAGACCGTGGGGACAGTCGAAGGTGCGGCAGCTGGAGGAATGAACTAGCAGAGGGCCGAAGATCCTGCCAGCTGCAAGCCAGCTGTATGACACCGTGGTGGCTGGCACAGGCTGCTTTGCATTTGTCCAAGTCCACAGGATGTGCCAAATGTACACCCCCAAAGTCAACCTCTGACTCTGGGAGACCGTGGTGGATCCATATATACTTATCAAATGTGCCACTGGTGCCAGGCTTTATGTCCGTCCGCTCAGAGCACACTGTTGAAATCCCAACCCTCGTGGTGGCATCAGGAGATGAGGTCTTTGACAGGGGTGATGAAGTCACTGAGTTTCAACCCTGTCAGCAGGGATTGCTGCTTTCACAAAGGAGACCGGAAGAGAACCCCTGACCTCTTCTGGGAGGAGACAGTGAGAAGGGCCTACCTGTGAGGAAGTGGCTCTTGCCAGCAACTGAGTCTCATGCGTCTCTGCCTTGTTTATAGAGGGTCTTGCTCTGTGCTCCAGGCTTGCCTGGGACTCATGTAGCACTGGTTGGTCTTGAACTCACTATGTAACCCGGTAGGCCTCAAACTCTTGGCAATTCCCCTGCCTCAGCCTCCCTGAGTGCTGAGATTACAGGCATCTGCTGCCACATTTGGTTCTGATGTCCCCTTACTGTGGTTTTTCCAGACTCCAGAACCACGAGAAACACAATTCTGCTGCCCCTAAGCCCCTTGATCCATCTTTTGTTGCAGTAGCTCAAAGGGACCAGATAACTATTGCGCAGACTGGTGGTGTGGGGAAGGCTATAGGGGACCATGGGTACTCCATGAATCTTGATTTTGCAACAAATAGAACCACCCTAAAAAATAAAGTGCATTTAAAAAGTAGTATAGGAATATTATATCTCATGTCTTTTTCAATTCTGGCTATTGAGATTTTTTTTCACCCTAATATTTACCAACCTGGTGAATTAAAAAAAATGTCCAGTTTTAATTCCCATATACCTAATTACTAGTGAGGATAAACTTTTGATTAGTTTTGTTTATTATTCAATGAATCCTTATTGATTTATGATTTTTTTTTCTCATGATGACTGCTAAACCTTTCTCTGCCATTCATGGCTCATGTCTATTGGGTCCTCTGAGCCCCGAGTCCTCTGACCAGGACCCAGGGAAGCCACCATCGTCTTACCCCACCTGTTTCCTGCCCCCCATTTCCCATATCATGTCCCCACAGTCCTAGAGGATCTAGTCTCTGCCTCTGGCCCTCAACTGTCTATGCAGTCTCTGCCACATCTCACACCTGTACAAGTCAGCCCGGACCAGCTCTGCTCTGGCTCCCCACGGCTTTACCCCGTCAGACACAAAAACAGGCTTGACAGAAGTGAGACCCCGGGAGTCACTTGAGTATCAGAATCAACTCTCTATCATTCTCAGCTCTTTCCGTGGTCAGCTTTCTTTCCCTTCTTTCCCTTCTTGTAGATAAAGAGCGAGTGTGAGACACTCAGTTCAGGCCAAGTTCCAGGTGACAGACAGCTTTGAAGTACCAGCATGTCTCATGCCCCTTTTCCTCCTCCCTCTTCTTCTCTCCTGGATTTTCTCAGAAGCTTGCCTCCTTGTTACCCTGTGGGTCACAGACAGGATCTCTCCACAGTACACACACACACACACACACACACCACATACATACATACATACATACATACATACACATACAAACACACATGGACCACATTTTGTGCTGTTATAAACATTTTATTACCATGTTCCCTCTTAATGCAAGGCATTTTGGAGTCCATATTTTAATACCTAGAGACGGTTCTTGCTTGTCTCCCATGAGGGGTCCACTCTGGAATATCGACAGGCTACTGTGAACACTGCCACTGAGATACCTTCAAGATGTTGGCGGTTTTCTTTGCTGCAATGAAGAGGGTCCAAGGAACACTCGCTCTGCCTGCCACGGGTCAAAACCAAAAATGAAGAGTTGTGGCTGCCATCAAAGAGAGTGAGACCATGACACAGGGTACCGGGACAGACCAGATCCAGCTCAGGGCTTGATGGGTCACAGAGGTGCCTCTCAGTGCACTCTCAGTCCGGGTGAAGAAATGGCACAATGTCCTCTGGCTCCAGGTCCACGGAACATATAAAGACAGATCTCTGCAGTGTAAACTTGTTCTAGAAACACCTCCCATTCGAGGCTTTAGATACCAAAAGAGCCAGAAATAATAAAATGAAGGCACATGTACATTTGCTGCTAAGGCCACTGCAAATACGGCCCCAAAGAGGGGTCCTGCTCCCCGATTCATCTCACAGCAATTCAGAGGCTTAAGTGCTGAGGCTTAAGTTGCCATTGTACCTCCTGCACAAAACTAGGAGAGACCACATTCAGGGGAGAAGTGTGTGCCCCACAAAAGGCCGTATGGAAAGAGCTGTACAGGCTCATCCAAAAAAGATGACGCCGAGGACAAAATTGTTCATAAACTCTGCTCCCAACCCCCCTCCCCTCGAACAACAAAACAGCCGATACTCAAGACACATACAAAAGCGTGTGCAAACTTGACCACGAGCAAACAGGACAAGTGAGAATGAATGATGTAATGCCGTTGTGCCCCGACTGTCAAGAAGGTAGTGATTTCCAAGGACTGAAATCCCACAGCAGGGCTTTCATCGGAGGCCAGTGGGAGCAGCAGGCATCCAGGCATTCTGGAGGGAGAGCAGCTCGGATGTCTAGACTAAGTCCCTGGATGTGCCGTCCTGCGTGATTGCTGCATTCTTGTCCTTTAGGGGTCCACACCCTGGCTTTTCTGAAGTTGACACCATGAGCTCTAGGTGCCTAGCCTTCTCCATTGCTCCTCCTCCCTCCAGCTTGGCCATAACTGTGACCGCCAGCTAGTGTTGCCCATATCAGTGACTTCTCTATATAGCGGGGGTCCCCAGCGCCCTCTGCAAGGACCTTCAGACCTCCCCAGGCAGCCATAGAAGACTATACCTATTCTTGTAGTGACATGACCCTGCCCATTTCAAAGTCTGAACCCTAGGGTGCCTACCTGAGCCTCCCACCGTCTGCACTGAGCCAGAACAGGTGCTGTTATTGATGCCTGAGGGAACAAGCATCCACAGCAGTTCTTAATCAGACCTTGCAGACCTCATCCTCAGAGGCCTCTTGGGCCTCATCCCCACTCCAACAAGGCAAAGGGAAAGGAGGATCCTAGAGAGAGAGAGAGAGAGAGAGAGAGAGAGAGAGAGAGGAAGAGGAAGGAAAGGAGGAAGGAAGAAGGGGGAGGAGAGGGGAGAGAAGGAGGAGAGAAGGGAGAAAGGGAAGGGAGGAGTTAGGAGGGAGAGGGAGGAAGAGGAAGGAGACCGGAAGGGAGAGAAAGAGGAGAGGAGGCAGGGACAGAAAGCACAGGTCAGCTATGGCTGAGTGTCAGGGCTGAGAGCAGAGAGAGTGGTGCTTCTTGGCGAGGGCTCTGAGGAGCTGCTCAGGCTGAGGTGCAGGGCTGCTGGTGAGATTGGGAGAGGATGTGAACCTAGCATACCTTCCCAGGCTGGCTGTCCCAAGGGGGCAGTGACAGGTAGTCCTGATGCTTCAGGGACTTGAAAAACTGAATGGCCGGCACCTGGGGCATGGGCTGGTAGGGAAGTTTTTTAACAGGCAAGTCCTGGTCTAGGTCCCCAATCTCAGGACACAGGCCTGGAGGAGGTGGGGAGAGGGGACCAGTCCCCAGGCCAGGAAGGAAGCAGTAGTCTCCCACCTGCTGGAGAACAAGGAGGCCTTCAGAGTGTGGGGATACCGGGGCCACTTCCTCCCTGCGCTCTTGGGGGCTCACTGTGGGGCTGCTTGGCATAGGAGGAACAGGACTGCCTTGGGGGGACTTGGGGGCCTGGCTCATACTTGGAGGGAGCTCCACATAGTCTTCAAACTCTGATGGCCCGGGAGCTGGACTTCTAGGAGGGACCCCAGGCAGCTTGAGACAGAGACTGGGCCTTTGATCTGAGGGGAACCCTAGAGAGGGACCCGGAGAGGTAGACAGGGGCCCTGTGGGCAGAGTGAGCACCAGATCCGCAGGACGGACATAATCAGATGCCACCACGGTGTCATCGGGGCCCCCAGAGCTTATGGGTGGCATCACTGGGTTGTCCTTTGGCTCCTGTTCTTCCAACCTCAGCTCAGCTGCAGGGCTGTCCCTCGGCTCCACGGGAGGGCTCTCTGTAGCCTCCAGGCTGGACCCATGCTCCTCATCTGCAGCCTGCCCCTGCCCCATTGCCTGGGACAGTGGGACCAGCTGCACGTGTCCCCCGGGGGGCAGACACAGGTACTCCAAGGAGCCTGGTAGCGCCGGTTTCAGGCTTCCACTCATCTGGGAGGCAACCAGCTGGCCTGGGACATCAGGCAGGGAGTGGGCTTGGGGAGACCCCAGGTAGGGTCCATTGAAGTCAAAACTGGGTTTTTGCTTAAGTTTGCCAGAAGGAGCTGGTGGGTGTACTTGAGCACCGGATGGCTGTTCCATGGGTTCCGATGAGGCTGCTGGGGTGTTGGCTGCTGGGGTGCTGTCAGGCCCAGACGGTGGATCTCGGACAATGTTAGGGTACTCAATGGTGATAGGTGATACTTCATTGTCCTCCAAATGTGCGTATGAGCCCCTGTGGGAACAGTAGAGGCAGAGATGTGGAACTCAGATACTTAGGGAGCCCCAGAGCAGGCAGGGCTCTCTGGAAGGCCTGACCCCCCTCCCTCCTGACCTCACAGTGAGCACCGAGGCATGGGACCCTCCAGCGTCCCACAGGACCATGCACCATGCTCGGTTCACAGCACCCCCCTAGCTTTTGCCCTCATCTTCTGCTCCTTGCATCCCGCTACCTTTGGGGCCAGGGTCACACTTGCCTAGGAATCAAACAGGTCTACCAGCTGCCCGGAAGACAGGCTTAGCTCTCCCTACACAGGTCCGAGCGCTGCAGGCATGAGCATTCAGCCCTCCAGTGCAGGGCTTGCCTAGGCAGCCTGGCTAGGAGAGGTTTCCTGCTCCGGGATGCTGTCGTCCTTTGTCTCACCCTAACCTGAGTCAGGAAGACCTTCCTCATGTCTCCCTGGATTGCCACTTGCTACAGTGGCCATCACCTCCCATAATCTCTTCAGAGGCCTACAGGGCTACCCTAACGTGTACAATGGAAGAGTTTTCCTCCCTCAGGCTCTCCAAGGGTCGGAGGCCTATCACTCACCCTTTAAGCTCAGCAAAAAGGTTGCTCTGTGGTCCCTGGAACATAGGGTTCTTAGCGGCGAAGGCTGCCACACTGCTGGGAGGCCAGAGTCCTTGGCCTCCATCCTAGAAGGTGAAGGATATTTGTGCCTATGACTTTGGTACCTCAGGAAGGAGGAGACAGTGGAGGATAGCATGAGCGTATGGTGTCTTCCATGGGGTCCATACATGGGAAAAAAATGTCCCCATGATGGGGCCCAGCTCAGGCCTCTGGCTCCAAGAAATCGGGAGGCACCCAGGGGACAGTGACTTCCCTCAGCCCTCAAGAATCTGAGGGGAGGAGGCCACACTGTTCTCCACGGCTTCTTCTCCCATGACTTTGGTGTCCACCGTGGCCATCGTCTCATGAGAAGCTGACAGCCATGTCTTTCCATTCTTGACATTCTCGTCTCAGTACCTGACCCTCTGGAGACACCCTTGCTGCTCCTACCAGCTCAGAGGCATCTTGTTATATGCTAGACCCAAGTCCTGTCCTGAAGGCCCTCAGCCCCCTCCCTACCCCCAGGAGAATTCTTGCACAGGGGAATGCTCTTAGTTCAGTCTATGGCTCCAGACAGAGCTCAGGGCCATTTGTGAGACTGCTGCTCCTTAGGGTACCCAAGGAGTCCCAGAGACCCACCTCCTGCTAGGCCAGCCCTCCTACCCTTCTCCACTGTGAAGCAATGGGACAGGGAGCCAGCAGCAGGTCCTGCCCTTCCTACCTGAAACATGAGGCTCTTGCTGGGGTTGGGGATTTTCTCCTTCCACTTCCTGTACAGCCTGGAAGATAGCGGGATGGTGGGGACTCGTGTATGAGGGGGTCCAGAGACCTCCGGGGCCCATGTATAGAGGGAAACCTGAAGCCAGGGGATGAGAGGCAGGGTGGGTAGGAGTGATAGCATGCCAGGCCGTGTCATCCCTGTGGCCCTGGAGCCCGGTTTCACAGGCTGCGCTCACCTGTGTACGTAGATGCAGCCAAAGCGGAGGGCCAGGAGCAAGGTGGGAATGAGGAAGACGAGGATGAGGGCTGTCCACAGTGTGGGCATCACTTGTTCCACAAGAAGGAGAAGGAGAATCAGGTGGGAGACACAGGATGCAGGCTAGGGGAGGAGGCCTGTGTCCCCCCAGGACCTCTGTGGGGGAGGGCAGATACTTGGGGGAAACCCTTGGGCCTGCGCCCAGTGCTCAGCGTGGGGGAGTCCTGCCGTAAGCACCAGCAGTAAATACACAGAGGAGACTGGTTGAGCCTTGGGAGGCTTCTTGAAGGAGGCATGGGGGCGGGGGTGCATGGCCTCCTAATCCAGAGAGGGTCAGGGGAGATGGGAAGGTGGGCCAGCAGAGGGTCCCTCTGGAAAAGCGAGGGTTGGGCGCAAGTGTCAAGGGAAGGGAACTGGGCAGGACTGATGGAAACCACCAACCTTCCAACCCCAGGCACGCACACACGTGTCTATGTAGCTAGTGTAGCTTTGCAGCCATGGTAACAAGAAACCCAGACTGACCAATCATGGCCGCCACAAAGGCTAATAAAACCAAGTGCCCTATGACTAGAGGCCTAAGCCCCCAACGGAAAGTAAGAACAACAGAAAGACAGATCCTCCCCTTCCCAGCTTCCTAGGGTAGGGTAGGGTGGGTGGCTGTCCCCGCGGCGTGGCGGTGGCCAAGAGACGTACCCCAGTCAGTGGTCCAGGAGCATTTCTTGCTCCACTCACTCCAAATCCCAGTGTAGTTAGGAAGGGTCTGGACCCTCACCCTGGCCTCGTATGTGGTCGAAGGCTCCAGCTGCAGCAGGAGCATGCTGTGTTGTATCACAATCGCTGTCTTGCTGTCCTACAGCGGCAGATGTGCAGAACCTGAGCCCCTAGCCAGGGTCAGGGGCCCAACTGCCCTCCCCCACCCCCAGCCACTTCTAGACCCACTGAATCTCCAGTCCAGCCCAGGACCCCAGGATAGAGCCTACTGTAACCAACCACCGTGATGGCACGTCTTCCACCACTGACAGCTACACCCAGGCCCAAGCCCAGACTTTCTCCACCTCCTCATTTGTCTGGTTCCTGCCTTGGCCTAAATTCTGTCTGATCCAGGAGCATCATGCTAATTGGCTGGGTTCTAGACCATGAGCTGGGCGTCAGGAATGACCTTCTGCTGACTCACTCTCAGGCCTCAGTCTCTCCATTTCCTCTCTGAAGTTAGAGTGCTGGCCAAATAGTCCTGCTTTGGGCTCTGTGGAGCCCAGGGGTCTGCTTCTAGGTGCCAGGCCTCTGTATGTGGGATGTGAGCTAGGCAGAACCTGCCCTCAGCTTGGCCCTCAGCCTCTACACCAATGGGTCAGTTTTGATTCCTGAGAGGAAATCCACCCAGGCCTTGGTGATCTTTGAAACCTTCATTCCAGGTACTTCTGCTGCCCCACTCTGACAGTCTGCCCCCTCAGCTCAAGGGCAGCAACTGGCCATGGGGCCATGCCATGTCACCTCTCAGAGCCTGAATCCTTCATCAAGAAACTGGGCTGTCGCCTGTTGACTATGTGGGCTCTAAGGCACAAGGGTCAGGCTCGTGGTAAGTAGAGTTCTCTAGGGTGTTCTGTCTTTCCTTTCCTCTCTGTCTATGACTTCCCCCGAGTCCTGGACCTCACCTCCCAGCTGTCCAGTTCCTTCTTGTACTGGACCTCGAATCTGTGTCTAATGTGATCGTAGGGCATTTTCTCAGTTTCCCAGTGCAGGGAATAGCTGTCTCTATTCTTGACCACCTCGAGGGTTGGAGGATTCATCTGGACTGGGGAGAGGATAATTTTAGAGAGCGTCATGGTTTTCTTCCTTCCAGCAAAATGTTTCTTGTTATCCAAGGTGGTCATGGGTAGTCTCCTCCCTGGACCAATATCCCCAGCCCCCAGCCACTTTGACTCCTTCGAACTCTGTGGTGGGTTTGAATGAGAATGTCTTCATAGGCTCATATGTTTGAATACCTGGTCCCCAGTTGGTGGAACTGTTTGGGAAGGATTAGGAGGTGTGGCCTTGTTAGAGGAGGTGTGTCCTTGGCAGGGGCAGGGAGGGGTTTAGCTGTTCTCTACATCTGGCTTGTGATTCAAGCTGTGATCATGGTGACACACATCCTTAGTCCTGGCACTCAGGGGGTACAGGCAGGTGGATATACATGAGTTTGAGGCCAGGCTGGCTACAAAGTGAGTTCCAGGCCAGCCAGGGCTACACAGAGAAACTCTGTCTCAAAAACCAATGAACCAACCAAACAAACAAAGATGTGAGTGCTCAGCTGATTCTCTGCCCCTGAAGCCTCTGCTACTGCTTTGCATCATGAACTCTAAACCTTTGAAACCACATTCCCAACTTATACAAGAGAGTTCTATGAGTTGCCATAGTCATGATGTCTTGTCACAATAATGAAATAACTAAGACAAACACCCAGCCTTACCGCATCATGGTGATATCCTGAGCTGGGGAGTGCCTGAGATAAGGCTCGGTGATGACGTGGCCTAAAGCTTGTGCTTCCCTGCTAGTTTTGGATTAAAAAAAGAAAGCAACCAGTGGCCCCGTCTAGGCCCACGGACTGTTCCAGGCCCTGGGCAACACACTTTGTGGGGATTCCCTCCCTCTGTTCTCTTCTTTCCCCTTCAAGATGCTCTAACCTCCCCACTTTACACACGGGGAAGCTGAGCCCCAGAAATTAAAGACTGGGTGGTGTAGAGCTTGTGTCTTCATTGTGTGTCCTGCTTTTTTGGTAACCCTGGGAGTTTCCTGAAGCCAGGATGAGCTAGCAAGTCCTTGGCTATTCTAAAAGCCTCCAGGGCAAGGCTGTGTATTCGGCCTTCAGACACACCCAGAAAACCATCACCCCATCACACTGTGGCCAGACTGAAAGTTAAAGACTGAGACACGGGCATGTATTCAGGCTTTCTCATGTGTCCCTGATGTATGTTCTGAGAGAGGTGGGCGATTTAAGGTAAGTCACTCAGTCACTGTGACCTTCGGTCTCTCCATCAAAACAAAGGATTCATAGCTTATGACTTCAAAGAGCTTTTACAAAAATAATGTGGGTGACTATAGCACACAGAGGGGTCTCTCAATCAGAGGAATCCCATTTCCTGGGGGGAGTGCCCCAAGAAGAAAACGCTGCGTGTGAACTCCGGTGACAAAGCTATCAAAGATGACTCGCATTACTGGTCGGATAGAAAGTCTCCCTTGTATCAGGGTCCTTGCCCTGTGCCAGGAAGGTGGGACATGGATCTAGAAGGAAGCCATCTGCTGGCACGCATTCCTTGCCTGGCACGAGAGTAAAACAGAGAGCAGAATTTGAGAAGTGAGAACATTTGTTGGAGGAGTGCAGGAAATCCTGGGAATCGCAGGAGGGAGAAGACGGTGGTCCGAGGGGGAGGGGGGGACAGGTGTGCAGCTGAGAGGAAGCAAAAGGGAAGGAGGGAGCAGGTTTCAAGTGAGGTTCCTGAGGGGCGACAGCGTGATCTGCATCAGGGCGTGAGTTGCAAGCTGGCGGTGGCGTCCCTGTCTCCTTGAAGACGGTAGAAGCCCATTAGAATGACCTTTCTCTCCATCTCTCTGTCTGTCTCTGTTTCACCATCTCTCTGCTGTGTCTGCCTGCCTATGGGCGTGGGTACCTGGGCACAGACATGCAGAAGGCAGAGAAGAAGCTCTCCTGTCCCTTCTCCATGCCTTATTCCTTTAGACAGGTTCTCTCACTGCACCTGGAGAGTAGTCAGGAAGCCCAACCATCCTCCTGTCTCGTGCCAAGTGCATGTGAACATGCACAGTATTTTTATGTGGGTGCTGGGATTCGAACTCAGATTCTCACAGCCTGTTCATCAATTGCTCTTGCCCTTTGAGCCATGCTCCTAACCCAAGAATAATCTTTTTTTTTTTTTTAATTACTGTGAGTCATTTTACCATTCGGTCTGCAAACCTTCGAAAGTGGCAAACACAAAGATGCCAAAGAGGTCCCTGTGTTTGTTGGAGTGACACAATGGGCCCCTATCGTACTTGGAACTCATGCAGAGGCAGGACAAACTCACTGTGGTTAAAGCTCTGGATGACCGTCTCCTGTTTCAGCGGCTTAACAGAGACTGTGTACTGGCTGTGTGCGCTGGGATCAGGCACGGTTAGAGTGCAGTGGTACCGGGTGAAGAGGCTGTCCTGAAGCTCCTTCACCACTGAGGAGCATTCCTTCTCCCTGGGGAAGCAGTGTTGAGCTGAGAGCAGGGCCAGGGGAGGGTCAGATCAGGCTGAGACCTCAGAGAGGTACAGCCCTGGGGATAAGAAGCATCAGGGAAGGATGGCCAGGGGCCACTCACGGAGTGCCAGGGCTGGAGCTGTAGAAGAGCCCGAAGGAAACAGAGCCCGTCATCTGGTGCCACACCTCCCAGGAGCAGCTGAGGGACTGGAGCCCATCAAAGAAGCAATGCAAGTTCTGAGGCTGGGTCTTGTCTCCTGTGTGAGACAGAGTGGCCCGGAGAGAGAACTGAGGACTCAGGGCCGGTGGGAGGCGCTGATGACAAGGTAAGGTAAATGCTGGAGCCTCCGGCCCAGACTGTCTCCGCTGTCAGTCGGGGCTCCTAAGAGAGGCTCTGTTACCTGGCTGGGAGTCCCACTGCACCTCTGGGCTCCATCTGCTGGGCCGTCCAGACAGCCTTGACCCTGGGGATAGCTGAGTGCGAACACGGGCCACATAGGTGTTGCCGGGTAGAAACAGCTTTGGCTCTAGAGTGACCCAAGAGTTGTTGGTGTGGAGGCTGGAGGCACCCTGTGGAGACAGGGGAGCTGAAGGAGGAGCCTGAGGGGCCACCCCGTGGGTTGGGCCCAGACTGCGGCTCACCGTCCTACCTCCCAGGAGTCCTGAAGCCGTCTGTAAGCCACCTCAAACTGTATGTCCTCCTGTGACAGCAAGGAGTCCTCGGCATCCCCAAGGGGCACGCTCCACTCCAGCAGGAGATGGTCGCCAGACGGGCGGATGCTGACATCCTTGGGGGGCGGTGGCTGTACTGCAAGAGAGGGAGGTGAGGGTTTGGACTTGCTGAGAGCAGCCTGGTTTTCCGGGGGCCCGTGGGCCCGCCCAGGTTCAGTGCTCACCCATCAGCTGATGATCATAAACAAGAGCCTCAAGGAATGTTCCTCTGAGGCTCCAGACCCGGAACCTGCAAAGGGTAGGTTTGACCGCAGTTCTGCCTTCTGTGGCCCGGACTTTCAGCTCAGCGGGGCCTCCTTCTGCCGGGCTGTGCACCGGGGCATTCTTCCCAGCGGAGGGCGCTGTGAGCCGGTCTGCTTCCTCTCCTGCTACCCACCCTCTACAGTTCAGGTGCCTACCGCTGACTGACATTGATCAGCATCCCTGTTGGTCTTCCCTGATGGCTTTCTTAGGCTCCTGTCCCTGGACAGAACCCCTTGACCCTCTTCTGGTCTCGCCACAGCTCATTGTAACTCCCATCCTTGTCTTGTCACACAAGGTAACTTTATCTTCTTCCTGTCCCCCTTCCCTAGTTCAAGGCTTGAGATACAGCTGCCCATTTCTCATATTTTCCCTTTTGAACTTAATGCTCCTTGGATACAGTGAACGTACCTGGGTTTTTGCGCATGCCCCATTCTCTCCAGACCTGCCCCTGTGACCAGCCTTTGCATGTGTGGTTTGCTGGCCAGGAACTGCTTCTGAGCAGTTCTGGCTCTGAGCTCCACCCAAAGCAAGGACTTGGCTGCAAAGCTCCTTCCTTCCTTCTGGGAAGCCCTTCCTGATTGCCAGAGCCCTTTGCCTTCCATCCCTTGCATGTGGCAGCTGGCTCCTGTGTGTCTCCTCACCCTTCAGCCTGCAGCTCTAAGCCCCAGGAGGAGGGACTCTCTCAGACACCAGCGCCAGTCAGTTGACGACAGCATTCAACCTAGCATTGTCGGACAGCAAACAGGATTTGCGGTGTCCCCCTAGGAGCCTGACACCTGCTTGGGCCTAGAATGACAATGCAAACCTCGCTTTCTCCTTCAGTCTGAAGTGCTGGTGACATGCCACAGATGTGACCACCTGAGACCGTGCTGTAACAAGGGGCCCTGTGGACCCACTGCACATCCCTGGGGGCCAGAGAAAGGGGTGAGGCGCCTGGCTCTGGGTCGGAAGCATGGGAAGAGGATGGAACCTCTGTGGGTCTCAATGAGAGGGCAAGGTGTTGCAGCCATGAGGCAAGACAACAGAGACCAGAGCTCTGTCACTTGGACAATGCTACAGGAGTCACATGGCTCCTCCTGGAGGGAAGCTTTGGGGCTTGGGAGACAGCAGAGGCAGCTGGGACAGGAAGCGTCTCCGGCAGAGGCAGCACGTCGCATCTGCTCCAACCCCAGGACAGGGTCCCTGAGCCCGAGAGACACTCTAGGCCACCTCCAGTAACCTGCCCATGCTTGTACACACTGCAGGACCCCAGCATCTTACCGTGCTGGGCCAATAGAACCGTGAGCTGGATACCCAGGTCCCGATCCAGTTCGAACGAGTACTTGTCATCTTGGGTGATGGAAAACCGTGTGTAGGGGATGACACATCTTCTGGGCACACAGCGGTGGGGTGATGGGCACTCTGACCACAGCAGGTCCTCACTGAAGTCGCAGGACACTGGCTGTTGTTCCCTGTCAGTGAACACTCATTAGTTCTTACCGAATGCCTG